CCGTGCTCCCGCTTTCCCTGGCACCGCGCCTTCCCTGGGGACACTGCCAGCAGCACCGCTATGTCCCAGAGCTCCAGGGGCAGAAACTTGCTGGGGTACCTGGACCCAGGGTGCTGCAGAGCCCCATCCCCTTGGGGAGAAGGGACGATGCGGGGTGGTCTGTGCCAACATGCTGTCTGCATCCCCCGCAGGACGCCTGACCTTTGGCCTGGGCCAGCCCCACGCTATGGCAGACCCCCCTGGCAGCTGCCGCCCCTGTGCCACTTGCCTGCTCTGCCTCTACAGCTGCCAGTGGATCACAGCCAAGAAGGAGAAGAGGAGGGGCCTGAGAACCACCAAGGTGATACCATGGGTGATGCTGAGCTGGGGCTGGCCAGCCTCTGCGTGGGGGGCTGAGTGGTGACTGGGGTGGGGAAGGGCTCCGGCTCTGGGGCTCAGCCCAGACATTGGGCTGCTGACCCCTTGCCACTGGTCCTGCTCCCCAGAGAGCTGTGATGCTACCTGGCACCCCTCTCTGTCTGGGACTACCCTAGCCTGGAGCAGTGAGAGGGTGAGTTGTTTGTTCTCACTGGGTGACAAGAAGGGTAGAGCAGTGCACTGGCATCAGCACAGCTGAGCTGTGGCTGTCCCTTGCCCAGCCAACCATGTGTCTGTGTCAGGGCTCGCATGTGCCTGGAGCAGAACACTGCACTGCCCAAGGGCTGAGCGTGGCAGGCAGGTCCCGGGGCGCTGAGTGCCTGGCAAGGCACATGGGAGGCACAGTTCCTGGGCTGGGTGCAGTCCCTGCTGATGGGGTGCTGGAAGGGGGTGTCCCCAGGAATTTGTAACCTGGGAGGGGTGAGGCCCTGAGATTCTCTGAGGTCTCCAACTCCCATGGGAGTGGCTGTGCCGCTGCTTGTCCCATCTTGCCCCAAATGCACGAGCCGGTCTGGGCTGCTGGGTGTCCCGCTCAGCACCTGTGGCACCCCTCACCTCCCCGTGTACGTGAGGCTGGGGGCTGGAGAACCTGAAGCTGGACCTGGCTTCGTCTGGGCAGGCAGGAGCAGTCTGCAGGCTCACCACTGCAATGGCAGCTCTGAGGCACAGCACCCCCCTCTGCCAGCCTGCAGATCACCCAGCTAGAAGGGAACAGGACCTGGCTCCCTGCCCCTTCCTGTGTCCAAAGTCGCAGCCTGCTCCCAGGGGCTGCTGCATGGGAAAGGAGGGCAGTCCTGCCACAAGGGCTGTCCTCCCCAGCCTGGCATAGGCAGCTTTTTAGCTTGTTATAGGAGATGCTGGTCCATCTTCCTGCTACATGGGTGCACCCAAAAGAGCTCTCCTGTAGGGCTCTGTTCCCTCTCCATGGGGCAGCTCAGTGCCTGAACCCACGAGGCCACTGTGACCCCCTGTGCACCCTGCTGCAGGCTGGGTGCTCCCCAGGGGTCTCAGCAACCTGGCCTGGGGCTAGGTGCCCTGCAGGCGTGTGCATAGTTGTCATCTCTGGCTTTCAGTGCGACTGCAGCTGGTTCCTTTTCCTCTTCTGTGTCTTCCTCTTCACACTGGTGTGGCTCTACTTTGTCATCATCGTCCTCAATGATTTCCACAACTTCAATGAGTGAGTAGAATCCCACATCCAGCTTTGCTTCCCATGTCCTCCCTGCCCCTCTGACCATCCCCTTTGCTGGCAGGTTCATGTTCAAGAAGAAGAAGTTGTGGCTAGACTGGTCTCTGGTCCTGCTCATAGCTACGGCCGTGCTGATCACCTACTCAGCTGTGCTGCTGGTGAGCCCTGATGATCCTGCCTGGGCTGGTGGGGGTACGGAGCTGTGCTGAGCACAGGTTGGCTGCTGTGCTCTGTGCAGAGCCGGGTGGAGCCCACAGCATCCAGCCTGGTGGAGCTGTGTCAGCCTGAGTGTGGCCACAGACCTCAGCCCAGAACTCCTGTGGCTGAGTCCTGTGCCCTTACAGTGCTGATGTGCGGAGCACAGCCCAGCTCTGACATCTCCTTATTCTTCTCACAGGTTCTTGCTTTGTGCCTGCAGCTCTGTGGCCAGCCCTTGAAGCTACACTGGCTGCACAAGGTGAGAGACTCCAGGTGCAGGGCGATGGTGCCTGCTCTACCTGCCCTTGCACCTTGGGAAGCTGCAGCCAGCCTAGTGAGGCTGTGTACGGCTGCTGTGACCCCAGTGCGTGGCTGTGTGTCCCTGCTGAGCTGGGCTGCAACTGTTAGTCCCCCAGCCCACATCTCTGGCATGGGAATATTCCCCTTGCTCAAATCAGGGGGTACGGAGGTCAGCTACAAACCCAAAAGGGGAAGTGGGGTCTCAGGACTTTCAGGGGCTCAGGAAGAAGGGATAAGGAGAACTGTGCCTGCCCTGCCATGATGGCCTTCAGGATGCTGTGTGCTCCCCTAACTGCCCTGTGCTCTGCCCCACAGGCCCTGCTGATCTTAACTGCCCTGGTGGTGGCTGCAGCCTTCACAGGGCTGGGAATAAAGTGGGCGGAGGAGTGGAGAAGTGCACGTATCTCCCTGCAGGTGAGTCACCTCGATACCAGAGACTCCCCTGCTGTACCCAGTACCTGGCCTGAGAGGATGAACTGAAGGGTGGTGACTGGAGCCCCCAGCATGGCTGTGTGCCATGGGAGTTAACTCCCTGCCCTTGACTTCTGCTGCTTGGCCAGGCATGGTGCTCCTCCTGCTTTTGCAGTCCTGCCTGGGTGATGAACAGTGGCTGGACCTGAGCAGGGAGTCTGTTCAGTCCCCCCAGGAGCCTGTCCTTCCCTCCCTGGCACTGTGTTTCATCCAGCAGCGCTGGCTGCAGTGGCAGATCCCTGGCATTGGAACATGTGGATTTTGGGGACAGGGGCTGGGCTGGTGATGGCTGACACCCTGCCTTTGCCTCCCCAGGCAACAGGTCCCTTCCTGCACATTGGAATCGTGGGGGGAATGACACTCCTTGCCTGGCCCCTGGCCAGCTTCACCTACCGCACCCGCAACACAGGTAATCCCCCTCCACAGTCTCCACCCTCCCCCCTCTGCTGGTGCGCTGCTTTCTACCACCCAACCAAGCAGCACTGGTGGCAGAGTGGTGCACAGAGAGCATCAGTGCAGTGGGAACACGTGCCCAGGACTCAATGCCTGCTCTTGGTTGCTGCTTCTTATGCCCAGCCCTTAGTGCAGCTTCAGCCCTCACTGCTCTGCAGCTGAAGGAGGGCTACAGATGGCAGACTGAGTCCTGCAGAAGTGCTGGGTTGGGATGCAAGGACAGATAGTGGGCCAAGAATAACTCTGCAGTGTTCCTGAGGCTGAAGATGCAACGCCTGACCTAGGGCAACCCTAAGTTAATGCCAGGTGAAGCAGCCTTGGCTTATTCCCGATGGCCTGCAAAATACTTTGTCTCCACCTCACCCCTCTAACTTCTCTGTCTCTGTCTGCAGGTCTCAAGGTGTTTTTGCTGCTTGTGTACTGTGCGGTGATGATCGCGCTGTATCTGGCTCCCCTGGGATTCACCTCCCCTTGCATCATGGAGGAGAACCAGTTGCCCCCCAAACCAGCCCTGGTTGGCCATCGAGGAGCCCCCATGGTGAGTGACCAGAACCAACAGCATCCTGGCACAGTGGTCAGGGTGGATGGGACAGGCTGCTCTGCCAGCAAAAACCAGGCCATGCCTGGCTGTGGGGCACTGGCATCAGACTCTTGCTGCTGCAGGCCTGGATGAGCACTGGCCAGCCCAGTGGTTGCCCTAGAGCCCAGCCAAGCTGCTGGGTGCAGCCATGCAGGGTGAGCACCTGCCTCCTGCCCCTTTCTGCCTGTGCCCTCTGCACTAACACTGTTTATTTTACAGCTGGCCCCTGAAAACACCCTCATGTCACTGCACAAAGCGGTGGACTGTGATGTGCAAGTCTTTGAGACAGACGTCATGGTGAGGTAAAGGGGCAGCAGAGACTTGGAGGGAGGAAGGGGCCTATGTATCCTGGGATGTCACCTCCTGTATGGGGCATTCTGGAACACACCTGGAAGAGTGGTATAGCTTGGCAGGCAGCCCTGTTCAAAGGGCTCTGTTGTTCCCACCTTCCCAGTATGGGATGGCTCCAACTTGGTGTCCCAATGATCTGGGAGAGGTACTGGGTTTCTGTCCTCCCCACGCAGGTTGCCTTCCAGGGCATTAGGTGGGAGGAGCACTGTTTGGAAAACAGACCCTGGCTCTAGTTCATCTCATGCAGTCCTGATAGGAGGACAGCTGTTGCAGTGAGCAAGGAACTGCTTGGTTCCTGGCTTGGTCTCCAGGTGCTCTGTGCTTTCCAGACACTCTTTTTTGTGTAGAGGACCACAAGTAGGCGTAAGGGTGGGCATTACTCCAGCAGGGTGGCTGGGAGGGGGCAGAAATGCCAGGGCAGGGATAGGAGACAAACAGCTTGCAACACAGAGCTTCCCTCTTTGCTCCTTTGCCAGTGCTGACGGGGTCCCGTTCCTCATGCATGACGAGGAACTCACCAGGACCACCAACGTGCAGGCTGTATTCCCTGAGAGGGCTGCCCTGAACAGCACTGCCTTCAACTGGACAGACCTCCAGCAGCTGGATGCTGGCAGCTGGTTCTTGGAGGTCAGGATGCCCCTGGGGTGCCTGGTCATGGATGGGTGTATTTGTGGGTGAAGCATGAGCCCTGCCCTGGGGAAAGTTCCCTCTGCAGCCCTGGTCCTGGCAGACACCTGGACAGGGTGCAGAAGCACTTCCATACCTGCATGAATCCCTTGGGTGTGGTTATGCCCCAAGCTGGGGTTTGTTCTGACTCCTCAGCTGAGTCACAGAGGAGGCTGGTTTGAGGGAGATATCTCGTGCATTTTCTCTGAGCTGCACAGCCTGCCTGGGCTTGGAGGCAGCTGTGGCAAGGCTCTTCCCAAAAGGTGACTAACCAACTGCTGAGCTGCTCTGAATGCCCACAGATGCTGAGGCTGCTTGAACTGTGCTGTTAACAGGGAGAAGGGTAGAGGTGCTCCATGGATGTGCAGGGAAGGATCCCTGTGTCTGTCTGCACTGGAGAGCACGTGGAGAGGCCACTGTAGGAAACTGAGAGCTAGAGATGGGCACCAGTCTGGGAGGTGGATGCTTACAGGGGGTCTGCCTATGATGACTGACTCCCTCTCACCCTTGCAGCGGAGGCCGTTTCCCACTGTGCAGAGTCTTTCTGCTGACGATCGCTACCAGGCAACTAAACAGAGGATCCCATCCCTGGAACAGGCACTAGAGGTAGCCAAGCAGAGCAATATCTCCATCATGTTTGACCTCCGGCCTGAGAACCACAGTGACTACCAGAGCTTTGTCAATGCCACCCTGGAAGTGATCTTACAGTCTCGCATCCCACTACAGCAGGTGAGCTGGCCACTGCCCCACCACTGCCCAGCCCTGCTGTCACACCCCTGCTGTGGTGGGAGGTGCCCCAACAACCCCACTGAGCATCCCTGCCACCCCACACACCACATCCCCATGTGTGAGCCCTGTCCAGACATGGGCTTCTCTAGCTGAGAGAAGTTGCCAATAATAAGGCTTCTTGGTGTTAATGCCTACAGCTTCAGACCTCTCCAAATATTCTGGTTCCCCAGCCCTGACCACCCTGGTATGTAAACAGTGACTCAGTCTAGGGAGGGGACCAACAGTGGTAGCAAGAGCAGGAAAATAATGCTCAGGCTTCCACCTCCTCGTGCTATGCCACACCTTTCCCTGCAGCTCTTGGACTTCTGCTGCAAACTCCTGTGTTGCCTTTGCACTTCATCCAACCTCTGCAGCACAGGACATGTGCTGCCCTGAGGGGATGAATTAGCCCCCAAATCACTTTCCCTATCTCTTTCCATTCTTGGCTTTTTGGGAATGTGGAACAGGAAGGGACACATCAAAGACTTGTAATGTAGTGCTGATCCAAGGTGTCTTCTTGCTGTAGAGTTGGGGCCAAAAGGATGCACTGCTTGATCCATTCAAGGACTCAGAAAGGACATAACTGCAGCAGCTTTCTTAGGCTGGAACTGCTTTCTCCCCGCAGTGGGGTCTGTTGTGCTTACTTCTTGGCTGGGATGAGCTCTTAGGAGACTGTCCTGGCTGAGATCCTCATGGAGGAGCTGAGTGTGGAGAAGGGGGCAGGAAGCAGCTGTCTGAGCAAGATGTGTGCCTGGACCTGCAAGGAAATATCAGAAGAGAGCAAGCTCTCTGGAGCACCTCTCCTCTGCATGTGCTCTCTGGCTCTTGCCTAGGTCCTCTGGCTGCCAGATGGGTTCAGGGAACAGGTCAAACAACAAGCCCCAGACATTCAGCAAGTTTATGGCCGGAAGAGGCTCCAGAATGAGAAGGAGCCACTGCTGCATGTCAATCTGCCCTACCAGGACATGACCTCTGAGGAGATCAGGTGAGAGCCCTGGGAGCTGTGGGGCCTGGGCGCTGTCCCAGCTCTGGCCCAGGGGCCAGCAGAGGTGAGGGCCAGCTGAGGCCGAGTGCTGGCACACTGCTGGGAAGGGCAGGGTGCATCTACAGCCCTGTGGATAAGCATGCCTTATCAGGTAGTGCTGGTGCAGGAGATGGAGCTGGCTGCAGTCCTCTGCCTTGCCAGCAAATCTGCCCTGGGTCTCCAGACAGTTGCTCCCTGTGGATGCGAATGCTGGATCACATCCCAGATAGACAGTCCTCTCTGGCTGTATGCTGAGTGTGCCGGCACCCTGCTGTCTGCTGCTCTGACCATGGCTGTCCCTGTGCAGGCAGTACCGCCAGGACAACATCTCTGTCAACTTGTACGTGGTGAACCAGCCCTGGCTCTTCTCCGTGCTTTGGTGCTCTGGGGTGAGCTCTGTCACCACCAACGCCTGCCAGGTGCTGAAGGAGATGAAACACCCTATCTGGCTGCTTGTAAGTGACTTCTCCATCCTTCACCCTGCCCCACAGCCCTGTGCCCCAGACACTTGTGGGTCCCTTTCTGCAGCAGCCCTGGACAGCCAGCTGCCTGGAGGGTGGCTTTTGCTCAGTGCTGTGCTGGCATGGGCATGTGTGACCCTGTGGAAGGGACTGCTGCCACAGCAGGCTGGGCTGTGCCACCAGCACACCACCTCTGGCTGGTGTTCATGGCTTGTCTTGTTACCTTGCAGCCCAGCAGCACGTACCTCATGATCTGGATTGTTGTAGACTGCGCTTCCTTCCTTGCCATCCTTTGGGCCTTCCTCTTGCTGAAGTACGTTTGCTCCCTTTCCCCCTCCTGGGACAGGTCTTTTGGGGGAGGCTGTAGAGTGCCCTGGGTGGCTGGTACATACCCAAGCCTAGTCGCATCTGCTGCCACCCTTCTCTGGACAGAGATCCTGGGGAGTCCTCTCCTGTCTGGCTAAGTGAGACAGCAGTGTGTGGAGGCAGCTTTTATCACCAGGCTGCAGCTAAAAATCTGGCCTGACCCTTCCTTGAGCTGCTGGATGCCTTAGTTCACACTTGGTAACTCGCTCTGCACCCCCAGGCTTGGCAGGCTGAGGCTGGGGGACCTTGGACCTGCTCCTTTACCAGTGCTGCAGGCACGGAGAGCAGATCCCTGTGGGACTGTGTGTCCTGTGGGGCCCCACAGTCACCAGCTGGGAGCTTGGGGGAAGGGAAGGGGGAGGCCAGACAGACATGCTAACATCGATCCTATTCCATCTCCTAGGAAATGCTCCCAGAGAAGACGGCCAGCGGGTGAGTGCGCATGGATGTGAGCTCCCCTCCCTCGGAGCCAGGCTGCGCCTGCGGGACTCTCCCTGGCAGGCAGGCAGCTTTCTCCAGCCGAACGTGACAGAGTGGTTTGGAATGGCTGGGGAGGGAAGGGAATCCCAGCCCAGGGAGTTCCTGTCCTGCTCTTAGCAAACAGCCCTGTGGGATAGTGCTGGGGAATCCCACATTCCCCGAGTCTCCTCAAACCTGCTTTTCAGGCTGCTCTGCCTGTCACTGTGGGATGGTGGCTGCCTGCAATGACTGTTCTTTCTCTCTATCTCCCCAGAGTCTGAGACGGACGTGCTGCTCACAAAGATCAACAGCTTGATGCAAGAGTGACCCTGCATCAGCCACGGGGATGGGCAGCCAGAGCCCTGCACAGCTCCAGTGGAGAGCACTCCTCAGGCCAGCTCCGAGGCTCCTTTCCTTACCAGACTCCTTCCTGAGCTTCCTGTCCTCTCCTGTAGCCTTCCTGGTTCCTTGCATGGTGCACAACTGCCCTCAACTGAAAACACGTGGAACTGGGTTCCCAGTTCCCACTGGCAGCGAGGAACTGGAGCCTTTGCAGGGGTTGCCTGGGGCTGGCTTGTGCCTGAGGGCTGAGTACTTATCAAGCAGCGCTGGGGCTGAGACCTCTGCCCTCGGGCTTGAAGAGTAGTGGGGGTTTGAGTTGCTGTTTGGT